CGTTGCTTTGCTTTAAATATCCTGTTCGGCAGCATGTCTGCATAATTACCCATTGTTTAGCTTACCCAGTCGTTGTAAAGAGATTCTTATTTCGAGCGAGCGTTTACCTTCCTCCGGCAATTTATTAGTGCTATAGAACAGGTTCTCGCGCTAAATCATTAGCTGGCTCCAATCCAGTTAAAGAGAATTACTCGATTAGGCAGCTTGCGCACGAGCTTTTGGACCCATTCAATGTGTCTCTGCGGTGCGCACAAATTACAGGCTGAAATCTTCAACCAAACTTGCCGTTGTGCCGAAGCCTCGGAGTTTGAATTCCGATCACTCATGTTGCTTGACAGCCATGGCGTGCCGCTGCGGCTGTAGAACGGAAGACATATCTCTGCACTCGCTATGCTCCGAGCTCTTCCCGCCGCAATCTTCATCGCATGGCTCATAGGTCGGAGCATTGAAAAGTATCTGTCTCTCCGCTCCGCGTCCCGCGCATTCGGGTAATTACAGCAGCACGCGGTGGAAACCCAGTCTGACGCCTTTCTCAGCGTCTGTCCCAATGCTGGCATGCTCTGGCTGCGTCCTCTAGGTCCTTTTTCTACTCTGTCAGCGCAATTTTTTCCGCTCAAGCACCAGATCGGCTCGTATTTCGCGAAATTTGCTCGTTCGTGACTTTGGACGAACCAGGTGTCCTATGTCTCATTTTTGCAGTTTATGCAAGATATGGGAGCACATGCATCAGCTCCGTGATCTTGTGGGGTTCTATTCCTACGCTGTGGCTCTCAGATGCGCAGGCGATCAAGACTGTCGCGACGGAGTCCACGATATTTCGAAAGGACCTCGAAGCAGTAAGTGAGACCCAATTAAAGTTCCGGTTATTACAGTTTGATTCAGACGACATGCAGTATGAGGGAATGAACGTTTACGGCCCCCATTTGGTAGCCACAGAAGGCGCCGATTGGAAAAGGCACAGGAGGGTCGCGAATCCTGCATTCGACGAGGTGAACTTCAATTGTCAACGTCATTCCACTGCTGACAATGGGCTAGGCAAATAACGCCTTCGTCTGGATGGAGACCGTGCGCGTGGTCAACGAGTGGTTTGCAGAAATGGACGGCCCAAAATTTAAAGCCAGCTTGGACTCTGTTATCACCATAAACGCTGATGAGGACTTCGTCCGGGTAGGATTTCTGCATTTTGGAGAATATCACTAACGAGACAAGGTTACCCTCCTTGTGTTTGCATCCGCGGCCTTCGGCTATCGCTTATCCTGGCAGGAGGACTCCTCCGCAAAGCCTCCAGGACACAAAGTCGCGTTCCGTCCAGCGCTGAGCAAGGCCTTGCGCCACCTCATGACCTTCGCTCTCACCCCCAGCTGGATTTACGCGCTTTCTGCCCGCGTGCATCTCCCACTCGTTGGGCACGTCCTCACCGACGCGAGAGACTCGTTCGACGCGCTTCAAGCCCACATGATGGATTTCATCTCGCTGGCCCGTGCATGGGTAGTGGGCGGCAAGATATCTCACATGGACGCAGGTCTCCTTCGGAACTTGGTGGAGGCCAATATGAACGAGGCGGGAGACGTCCATCACAAGAAGCTTACCGACCAGGAGCTGCTGTCGGATGTTTTCGTGTGTATTCTCTTCCGTACTTATGTCTTCGAGTATTCTGAAATTTTTTGAAGGTTTTCTTTCTGGCTGGTCATGGTTCGTTTCAAGGACCCATTCCGCCTGTTACATTGATTGAACATCGTTTTAGAAACGTCCGCTCACGCGCTGAGTTTCGCGGTCGCACTTCTTGCACTATACCCCGACATCCAACAGAAGATATATGAAGAGACTCTCCGAATCTGGCCCGAAGGCTGTCCCACCACTGCTTCTCTCTCGGTATGGAGTTCCCGGAATCAACGTACGGTCCTTCATTGATTTTTTTTGTCAGTCGTACAAAGAATGTATGCCTCAATTGGTAAATCAACGATTCCAGCTCTGGGCTTACAATAGAAAGCCTCTACTAACCAAGATCATTTCCCATAGCCATACACACTGGCAGCGTTCCATGAGACCCTCCGGCTCATCCCCGCTGTTCCGCGGCTCAGTAAAGTCGTCCAAGCAGATACTACCTTGACTGCCCATCGCTTTACAACGGGCCCGACAGGTGAAATCCAAAACGTAACGCCGTTTTCCGTCCCAGTCAGGGCAGGGAGTTGGGTGGTCATCGATATTACGGCGCTGCATATGAACCGTGCGTCAATACCATCATATGTAGCCTCAGCCACTCGACGGCTAACACCTCGCCATCAGCGATATACTGGGGCCAGGACGCAGAAAATTTCAAGCCGGAGCGGTTCATTGATACCGAGACGTATCGGTGGCCTCGGGATGCCTGTCAGTTTAATTTATAAGTTTAATTTCCTACACTCACGTCCTGACCCATCTCCGTCCAGTCTTCGGATTCTCCGGTGGCCCACGTAGCTGTATCGGCCAGCGGTTCGCACTCACCGAGAGTGTGTGCGCGCTCGCGAGTCTGGTGCGCAGCTACAATATTTCCGTGCCCGACCATCTTGCGTCGAAGTCCTTCGAGGAGCAGAAACGGTTGCTGCTGGGGTGGAAACCCTTGATAACATCTACACCAACGAATTGTGTGGTGCGCTTGCGTCGCAGGGCACCTGTCACTTGATTGACTTGATTTATGCCCACTTTGTGTTCTGTATTGATATTCATTTCACTCCTTTAGTATTTCCTTTTCTCTTGACGAGGCCCGTCTGAAAATGCAACTTGTCCCCGCCATTTTTATGTCTGGAAGCACGCCCGTCGCTCCGCAACTGCGCTACATGTTTTTCGGGGTGCATGGTGAAGCCCGTATCGACTACACCCTGTACATTAAAATGCTTAAATCCCGGCGGGACGCAGAGAATAGTGCCCTCAAGGCTGCGAGTCTGCGACGATAATCGGGGCCAGATCCTGCGACGCTTCGGGCTCTAGATGCTCTTCGCCTGGACGGATTGGATCTCTTGTTACTGGACGGAAGGGAAGCATTGGGCACACTCGGTGCTTGGAAGTTCAGTGCAGCGGGCACTTAATGCACGTTGGCTTCGCTCGTTCCTCGTTCAAGGTATGGCCTGGCGTTTATCTAATATCTCCACAAACAGCACCTGGAGCCCCATTGAATTACCCCGAAGTATGTGCCATCAATTTGCGTTGACTCAGAATTGAGGAACCCTGACCCTGAAGAACCTTGAGTTTAAGGTTGTGCCGATCTCAATCACAATGCCTTCAACGAGCGACTCGGGGGTACTTTCGGCTGTTTTTTTTCACAACACCAAGACAAGCGAAGTACGTGCCAGTGCCCCATTTGGTGCGGTTTCTAGAGTGATTTTTAATTTAACGATACATCCATCGCACCCTGTACAGGCAACTGTCAGGCAACCAATTCATTGTTGCCGGAACTAAAGATCCGCGTTTTGGCGATCACTAGGGATCTATTGAACTTACGGAATGCCAACTGAAAGTATCAATCAACCAACTTCAACCAACATTCTGTACAATATAGCATCAAAGCTTATAAAATACGGTCTCCCTAGGTATCCTTCTACTACACCAAGCACCTGTATTCCCCGAACTTGTAATTCGGTCAGCCAGCCATCCGTGTGCGCTCTTTTCAACCGAGAAATCTCTGACATCGATTTGTCCCAGACCCAGCGAATCGGCAATCCCAACCATCTTGCCCAAGCCCATCCCATTTAAATCCACAATGTGCGCCCTTATCCTTGCACCGATTCGTCCGGTCTAACATTGGTCCACAGCTTGTTCACAGCACTATGAAAGTCATCGTTGCCCTCCTCGCCGTCCTTGCCGCGACCATCGATATCGCGCAGGTCCACGCGACGCCGGCAGAGGAAGCCCGAGCCCCAGCGCCGACGTTCGACTTCAACTTCAAAGGCATTAACCGGCGTGCCTAGGCGTCAGTAACGATGGGATCTCGGTCTTTTTAGTGACTTTGTGTGAAGGCGAGATGATGCAAGATGATGCATTGCGACACAACAGTTGAAAGTTGATGTTCCTGATTTATTATGTCCATTCGCTTAGTTCGTTGTGCCTGTGCGTACGTACATAAACTCTCTTTTGAAAGGATACTCATGCTGTGGAGTCGATGTACTGTTGGGGCAGCCGCACTGTTTTAGTCAAATCGCTTTGAAAGGCGGCGCGCACCAGCAGAATGAACGCCCACCGTCGGAGATCAATTGTCTTACGAGAGCTCAACCTCGGCAGGAGCACCATGTCTTTAACATCTAGGGAGGAGCGCCAAAGCCTATAAATGCAGTCCACTTAGACTGTGCCCGCCAAGCACCTGCATCCCCAACTCGTTTTCGGTAACTAATAAATATTCTGCTGCGTTCTTTTCAACTAACTTGACATACACCCAGTGAACCACAAATCTCAATCAAAGTTCATTCAGTCCAATTACAAGCCAAGACCAAGGCACGTCCTTTTTCTTAACCGCCGAATTATCTTTTGCAACATTACAGTAGGCCGATCCATAGCTGCAACATCATGAGATTCACCCTCGCTTTCCTCGCCGTCCTCGCTGCTGCCATCGCACAGGTCCACGCGACGCCGTCCGAGGAGGCTGCCGCCGCCCCCGAGATCGTCGAGCTGCACAAGTTTTTCTTCAAGGGGATCAACGATCGAAGGCGCTTCTAGGCTCCAGGCGCGATACGAACATAGTACAGTTTAATTCTTGATGAAGTTTGAATGAATCACGTTGAAACGGTGGGCTCAGTCGTGAGATTGAACTTATCCGAGTCGCTCGGTCACAGGTTGGTTGAAAATCTCTGTAAAGCTGTGTAACTTGAACCGGCCAAATCAGGAGCTCGAAGATGGATTTTACCTGGACCGCGGCTGCCTATCCAATGCAGCTGGGTTGGATCCAGGATTTTTTTCGGCGAAGAAAAACGGAAGGAAGGAAGCGGAGGTAAATGTCACTCTCACCAAAAAAAAAAGAAAACGGAGATGGACAGCCTAGCCTTGAGTCGAACAAGATTTCTCCTGCTGAAACCTGTATGCTATCTTAATACAAGCAGGCGTGTTGCCGCTACACCATCAGGCGGATTTCTCCCTTCCATGAAATTCATACATACTGTCATTGGGGTCCAGATATTTTTTTGAGGAGAAAAAATCGAATTGAACCTTGAAATGGCCTAGCCTCGAGTCGAACAAGGTTCTCCTACTGAAAGCTTCATAAGCCAAACCAAACATTTCAAGTAGGTATGTTACTGTTACACCACTAAGCCGCTGCCTTCCCTCACCTCAAATGGATAGGTACTCAGAGGGAAGAAAGATTTCAATGGAGGGCACTCTAACCACAGAGTTCACTTGGGGCACTGGTATTTATGACTGGCCAAGCATTGGATGAGCTACTGCCGAAACTGATATCAAGCTCTTTATGTTAAACACACAGCTGGTAGGAGGAAGAGGTGCTTCGCGCGTTGGCTCACGTGAGCGCGCAACTCATTCGAGGGCGAGTATTTTTCTGCGTCAGAAGCTGGCTGGAGATTAGAATAGAACGGGGAACGTTCTGAATACAAAAGTCGAATGCCGGCTGCCTAGGGCAGGCCCCAAGAACATATTAGTAACGTACATCCGCTAGTACTTATCAGTAATTTTCATCGGGGACATGTCCTCCGCCGAGAAAAGATCGCGGTCACCACCGATGAGTCCACCAAAAACATCAGTTCCTCTGCCGAAGGGAGGTAACCTCAACTGCGCTCGTCCCACCGCTCGTACGTGCCCTTGCGCACATCCTCGACATACGCGTCCTCGATGGTCTTGCACAGGGCGTCGAGGTCCGCGAGCGCGGTGATGAGCGCGGAGAGCGACGAGAGGTTGTCTATCGCGCCCTCGCCAGTTAGGTGGGTGTACGCACGATGGGGCAGTTGGGACACGCACCGTACATCTGGATGCGGACCTGGATGACGTTCTCCGACGGGTGTGGCGCGCTAGAGATTCGATCAGAAGGGAAGGCCGGCGCGACGGCGATAGACAGCGACAAAGGAGGGGAAATGAAGGGGTGACGACAAAGGAAGGCGGGCGGTTCGGGGTGCGACAAAGGAAAAGCGCATGTGCTGGTGGGAGACTTGCCTGTAGCCGCAGAACTCCACCTTCGGGCTGGGTGGAAAGGTGAGCGGGTGGGAAGATGGGAGAGTATGTATGAGACACACTTTTTCATGATCATCCAGCGTAAAGCGTTTCCTATTGTGTGCGACTCGTCGTGGATCTGATAGGTTGCGGCCGAGAGGTCTGGGGCCGCGCCCTTCATCTGCAAGTCCGGGGCGTGAGACACGCACCCAACGGAGACTGGAGGGCGCGTACAATGGTGACCTTTGGCGGCAGGTCCGCCATGGCTGGAGAAGGAGAGGAAAATTCGAGACGCCGCAGCCAAGCATGCGCACACCGTCTCGTCCCGATCGGGATTTGCTTCCTGCCAACTTCCTGCCAACGTCCTTCCTCGTCAACGTCTTTCTTCAGCTGCTGCAGCACTACAACCACTCTGGCTTGGCATGTAAAAGACTATTGTGCTGGTACAAGCGACACTGGGAACTTCAAGAATTGCGACAATGGGCCTGAATTCAAACTCCGCTCCACAAAGTGTCCCACAACAAAGCTCCGATATCTCTTTTGTCCGCCTACTTTGCCTCACAATGAAACACGCGCTCTGCGGACTATGCACCTTTCACGCTTCTTGCCGTCAATGCGTCGGTTATCCTGCCTATTCAGGTCTATAAAGCTAGCTCGGCGCTAGTCTGGACCCAGCACCGCACTCCCCCTTCTCGGCTTGCTTTCTTCAAGATACCCCATTCCTCTCATCTTCAGCGCACGAACATATAAGGCAGGCCCTCATCACCCCCCGGTGGATAACGAACGACTATACGACCAAATCTTCCGTCTTTCTACATACGCCCACTGTATCAATGGCTTCCTACTCCGCATCCTCCGAGCGCCCCACACTCCCCCCGCTCCACACCCTCAACCTGCTACCTTCATCGTACCGGAGCCGCCCCTCACCGTACGACTCGGTGAGCATTACTGTCCCTTATCCCTAGAACAATCAATCCTCATATGCCTTTCCTAATTATTAGTTATGCCCCCCACCGCACGCCCACCGCCGCGCATCCACGGCCTCCTCCTCCCGCACGCCGTCTCCGACTCCCTCCGACGCGAGCTCGAACCTAAGCTCGAGCAGCCCCGTGTCCCCAAAACTCACGCTCGTCCCGTCCTCGTTCGCGGACGCGGACGCTGTGCTCGTCGTTCCGCCCACGGGCGCCGCGAAGCCCCTCCTCCTTACCGGCGTCGCCCTCGCGCACCTCCGCCACCCGCAGCGCCAGATTTCCAAGGGCACGCGCCTCCACCCCTACCGCTTCGCGCGGCGCCCGTCCGCCGCATGAGCCCCTCGCGGCGTCCTCTGCACCGCGTGTGCAAAGTCCCGCCTCGGACGCCAGCGCCGCACAGACGCCCCCGCGTCCGTGCACTGCACGCCGCCCACCGTCGTTTGCATGCCTGTATCACATCCCGACGACCTCTGTATCAATACCGCGCTTACTTATACCACCACCTGTATCCTATACATACGAACGACTCGGAGCGAGTCGACGGCCGTCACGATAGACAACATATGTCTTGTTACAAGTTTTTAAAATTAATTAATGGCTCGTACTGTTGCTTGGGTGACTGAAACCAATCTGCGATAAGTGGAGACAATCGAGGGCGAGTTCAGGGCGAGCGACATCGTAGTGCGTCGGTCATCGGCCCGATCACCGAGCCAAACACGACCACACGCGCCTTACTTCCCGCCACCACGCGCCACCGTTGGCTCGCATCGCTCCCCGCCCTCGCCTGCGCGAGATGTATTCAAAATCTACGCCAGGGCAAGAAGATGGAATTCAGTTGTTCGCAAGCCAGTGGCAGTGCTAGGACGGCGATGCCAAATAAGGCCCAATTTCTTGCACAATGTTTTTTCGGCTTCAGCTTTGCACCTTGACAAGATCGCGTCGTGTCCCATTTGCATGTCCTAGATGTTCTGCTCCCCTCGTGCGGTGGTCATCTTCTCGGAGAAAACCGATCTTGAAAACGATTTTACGGGACGAGTTCCCTCTCCCTCTCCCGCGAGCGGCCATCCCGCCTCACAGCACAGACGAACGCGACCCATGGACCGACCTTTTACCGGGGTTATACGAAAAGTACTGGGGACTTGATTACGTTCATCCAGAGCGCGCAGAGCAGGTCCCGGGCGTCATCGTCCTGCGGCGAACCTTCCTATTTCCGCCCGCCCCGTCAAAGGAGTTGCTAACCTTCGTCGAAAACACGCAGGATATGCCGTTGAGTAATGTGCTCATCTTTCCGTATTAGCTCTTAACTCTCCTGACGTGCGCCCAGCTCATCGTATTCCGCAGTCTCAGCGAATGCGATGTCTACCTCCGCTCTCCAGCCGGCGTTACTCCAGCCCTCATCGACCTCGCACACTCGTTCCAGGACGCCTACGATCAGCTTGTACCCGACTTCCCTGCCCCATTTGTGAAGCCCATCCATCGGGTCACGACATTCGACGACGCGGCCACCCTGGCTCGAAGACTCCTCAAGAAAGGGCGCCCAATAGCCGACCCTCCCGAGTTTGTCCTGACCGCCCCGACGGCGCTCCCCCCCGCGCCCCCCGCGCCCGCCCTGCCGCCGCCGCCGATCACCGATACGGACCTTCCCACCTACATCGCGCCGCTCGTGGCCTCTGGCTGGTGCATTTCCGGCGTCAAGGCCGTCAACCGCTTCCAGGCCGAGCGCGAGGCGTTCAGGGCCCTCCCGTCGCTGTCCCGCATGTACCGCTTCCACACCTACCCCGCCGCGCGGCAATTCTTCACCGCCGTTGTCGCCCTGATCCCCCCCGAGCGCGCGGTCCAGTCCGAACGCGCATCAGTCCCCGCGACCGTGACCAGCGCCCCCGATCCCGTCTACCCTGGCGTCGAGGTGCGGTTCGCGAAGTACGAGAACCGGGTCGAGGTGTGGACGATCAGCGAGCTCGCGGAGGGCGCGGAGCGGCCGTTCGGCATCTCGCACGCCGACGTGCGCTTCGCCATCGCCGTCGAGACGCTGTTTGCGGAGAAGTTCACGCAGCACGCACACAATATCGCCCTCAAGAAGCGATGGGTGCCGACGCAGATGAGCGAGGTTTGGGACTATCAAAACCACAACCACTCGCCCAAGGCGGGCCACAACCCCTTACACGAACTGGGTCCTGACTCGCCGGGCGCAACGGGAGGAGATTTGCAAACAGGCGCACAAAAGTCAGCGAGCGGGGACCGTGGCTTGCCGCCGCACCTGCTACTGGCTCGAAAGCCTTAGGTATTCATTGTGAGTCGAGGGTATCTAGTCTTCGAATGAAAATCCCTTTTTTAAAAATGCGGAAGATGTGTGATGTGGGAACCATCTCCCACGTTCGCCTTGGATTCCGCGGAGTTCCCGCGGGCCATCGGGGTTTTTTTCCCCCGCGCTGGAGCCTGGGCGTCAGGTTTTTTTTTTTTTTTTTACAAAAAATCGGCGCGCTTGGGAGACTGGTCAACGGCGTGGAGTATAACTTGATAGTTCCCCTCCTGGCAAAGTGCACGGACGTCCTCCCCAAGTCCCGCATGTGCACGTGAAGCCACATCAATATGTCTCTGAAGGAATGAATGAATCGATCATGATCATGCATATTATGCCGGCGCCCGCAATTCGATCGATGACCCCGAAGTACCCGACCCGAACAAGCCTTCCACAACACCATGTCCTCTCAGCTCCTCGACCGTCTGCGCTTCAGGATCCCTTTCCTCGCGGTGGAAATCAAACCCACAATCGCTGTAATAGCGACAATCCTCGGGCTCTTTGCCCTCCGCCGAATCTACAGACTCCTGAAGGCATCCCGAGTGAGCACAGCGAGTTTCCAGCACACGCGGAAGCTCTGCTGACTCCGACTGATAGACTGTCAATTACTTTCCGAACGTATATACCGCCTTCCAACCATTCGCCTTCCCCGGTCTTTTGGTCCCGACTACATCCTACACTACGGGATTCGACTGGCACTGGGTGCGACGTTTCCAAAGTGAGTATCTCGGCGTATTATCTGCTGGCCCTAGTTTTGTATTACGTCAAGAATGTTAACAACCCCATCAGCGTATGCTTCGAATGAAACGGTCAACCTCGTCCCGGTAATATCCGGGATTCCCGGGCTGTGGACCTCCAACATGGATATTGGACGCCAGGTCGCAGC